CTGGCACCACCACCAGTAGGCAAACATGGGGTTAGTATCTTGCTGGCTATCTGGCATGCAGCCAGGAGGCAGCCTGGGATCGAACCACCGACCTTCTGATTAGTGGCTGACCTGCTCTACCTGAGCTACAGCCACCTACAGTTATAGACATAACTATTCGTTTCAGCTCTTCCAATACTGCTGACACATACGGGCTCACTTCAGGTTTTTGCTCAGGCAGCAGTCGTCCTTTTCTCCTGGATCGGCTGGAGTGATTGAGCAGTGACAAAATGTTCTCATGATAGTCTTTCTGGTTTAGCAAAACCGTGCACCTACCCTTGTCTGCTGGACAGGTGATAATGTTGTCATCACTAAGCGATGTGAGTGCCTTCCTCTCCTCCATGCTGATGTTTGAGGTTGGGTACAGACATTATAAAATCCATGTCGTTTGTGGAGCCAGCTTGCTTCTTTCAGTGTTTCTCAAACTCTTTTTTTAAAAGCTGCCAACTTACAACTTTTAAAAAGTCATTATTAATACTAAACGATCCAGGTTCAATTTGACTAAAAAGGCCAGAGCAATAGCACCAACAAGCTTTCTTCTTTTCCATGAAATCACATTCAGCCTCATATTTTTCACCTTCTTGTCCACGCTCCACCTGCACTGGTTTAATCCAAAGAAAATCTGACGTGTAAAAATCACACGCTGTTGTTTTTGTTGTTGTTTTTTTTTATGTTGAGATTACTTAAAAAGCTGTGATTTTATCCAACACATTTATGCTGTGTGTGTGTGTTCAGGCCATGACCAGGAGCTGACTCACTGCTGTACCCACCCAACCCAGCGACTGGTGGTCACTTCATCCAGAGACACCACCTTCAGACTGTGGGACTTCAGAGACCCATCCATCCACTCTGTCAACGTCTTCCAGGGACACACTGAGTGAGTCTTTCTCTCTCACCCGCGCTCCTCCTTGCTGGTTCCCTGATGACAGATACTTAAATGTGGGTGCAGTCGTTAATTTGCCCACAGGGTGGTGCTGTAGCATCTCACCTCTCCATAAATCCCTCCAACATTTTCTTTTTCCTTTTACATTAATTTACAGACCCTGTTGCTCTAAGCCAAATCCTCCACTTGCCTCTCATTCATTACGGAGCACTTCTCCTCACTTCAACAGTTTGCTTCTCTTTCTCCTCTCCGCTCTCCGTACCTCTCGTTCTCCCTCTCTCTCCCGTTCATTTATCTGTCCGTTTCTGCGTTAATCCCCCCACTCTGTGTAATTTGGCACTTCGCTCGCTGTTAACACTCAATTGCAGCCGCTCATTTCAAAACGATGACTGTCAGGCTTGTCTGTGGCTTTCAATGGCAGTGCTCTTTAAAAGGCACAAGAAGTGCAAGTGTGTGTGTGCGCCTACATGCGTGTGCCGGCTGGCTGGCAGCCTTTGATTGCAAGTGGGGGGATTATGGCAGAGCTCATTATGTACGACCCCAACATGTATAATTCCCGCAGATCCCACTCTAATTCTCTCCCATAGACAATTGCTGTAATGAGATTAAGCACTAGTGTTTCACAGTTAACAACAGCCCTCCTCCCCTCCTTTCCTTCCCTCCATCCTTATTTCCTTCACAAATGGCCACTTTCTTTGTGGCACTGCATTTAAAGCAACAAGTAGACAGGCAGACGTAATGATTCCCCAAACTTCTGCAGGCTCATTACAGGAATACAAAAAGCCTAGTCTGTAATAGTATTTCTGCCACTTGACACACTCAGTGTAAATAAGAATGCAGCTGTTTTTCAAGTTGCTGATTAATAGTTTAGT